CCCTGAAATACAGATTTTTCCCACTCAAATTTGCCCCAATTACTGAATGCCCCAAATATAAAAATTTTCCCCAAAAATATCCTCAATTAATACGTTAGTTTTTTCATGGTTGAGTATAATACACATTTTTCTTTTCCCCCACCCCTTGAATGTTTAGGGGGGGGGGGCAAACAAAAATTTTTGCACTACGCGCAGGATATTTGACACCTATTCCCCCCCCCATAGCTGAATGTCTAGTTGAGCGCCTGCTACACCTGTATCGATTAACTTTTATAAAATCGTGGTCAAAAATAGTTAATGTACAGGGTGTCCCAAAAAACATGGGAATTGAGTGACGAATTCGATATAGTCTTTGTTATGAATTAGCATTGTAATACCTAATTTAAAAAGTCATAATATTTTTGTGTCTGCTAGAGTTTATTTTATGAAAAAAGTAAAAGACTGTTAAGATGTGTCTATATTGTCTCCGCAAGTGTACAGTAAAGAAAGCCTGAGACGGACAAGTTTACTCTGTTTGTATACTGTAATTTTCTTGTTTTTCTAAGTACAACCGTATGCAGTCAAAACATAAACAAACAAAATGTGAACATAGCAGACGAAACTATTACAAGCTACAGCTTTCTCACTATACTAAATCAAAGAATTATTTAAAAGGCGATATCGAATTCGTCACTGAATTCCCATGTTTATTGGGACACCCTGTATGAAATAGAGCAGAGAATCTATGAGAGGAGTTCCACTCCCATAACTCCAGCAGAAGTGGCGGAACTTCCTGTTTCTAATTTTGAATCCCGCCGTCTCTGATTCTGGTTTATCATATCCAACTTCCTTAGTTGAGGTAGAAGGTCTATAAGCTTGTGAAACTTGTCACCAGGTTTACTTGGATCCATCTTTATATATGATCTAAGCAGCTTCATGTACTTGTTACGTACTCGATCCAACTTGTGTTTATACTGGATGCTGTCCCTATCACTGAAAACGATGATTGCAGTAAGTAGAGCGTATTCTGCATTATCCAGGTTTAAACTACAAAAGTTTCTGCACTTGAGCTCCGTATTGTCTAGACCCATGATGTCCCATGGTGTGGTAGTGTAGGCGTGGTTGTTACTGAACACTATACTTCGCAACATCAAACATTCACTTTAGCTTCCATTTTCATGGTTTTCATAATATCTGCCAATTTCAAAGAAAGAGCTAGATGTACCTTTGTAAGGTCTGACTCAGGCTCAGGGACAGGCACAGAATTAGGTTTAGGTTCAGGGCAATATTGAGGTTCAGTTTCAGGCTCATGATTAGGTTTAGATCCAGGATAGGGTTCAGTTTCAGGAACAGACTCCTTGGGCTGGTGGGTTTTTATGGACCTCTCCTTTGTCAGAGAAGTACTTCTCAGGGACCTCACCCCAGGCTGGATGGTTCTCAGGGACCTCTACTTCGGCTGGGGGGTTCTAAGGAACCTCTTTCCAGGCTGGATGATTCTCAGGGACCTCTTATCAGACTGGATGGTACTAAGGGGCCTCTCCTTAGACTCGACTGGGGGATCTTATGGACCTCTCCACAGGCTGGGGGGTTCTTGGGGACCACTCCTTAGACTTTGGGGATCCTAGGGAGTTCTTAACAGGCTGGGGGGTTTTGGGGACCTCTCACTAGACTGGGGACATCTTAGGTCTCAGCAGGCTTGCGGGTTCTTGAGGACCTCTCTTTTGACTGGTTTCTTTGGGAGCCGTCCTCGGAACTCGACAGGGACTTGGGGTTCTCTTGAAATCTAACCCGGGACTGGGAATTCTTCTGGTAATTCACAACTGTCCGAGGAAACTCTTGGGACCTCACCTTGGATGCTTGGTTTCCTGGGGCCCGGAGAAGGAGAATGGTTTTAATTGTCTCCTCTTTCGCTTTCTCTTCTTTCTCTTCTTGTTTAGCAGGGATCTTGAAAAGGTAAAGAATTCTTTCTCTTCTCGACTCCATAGCTTCAGCTCAACAGATTCTCCAGTCCTCACAGCTCCCTGGCAATGAGCTAGGACCTGTTGTATCAGGCTCATGTTGGTATATTTGTGACTTGTGAGGTATTGAAGAGGCAGGGTGGGTTTTTCCGACATTTCAGCTGGGGGGCCAACACAGAGGCAGGTATTAGGGAGCACAGTAAAAGGTCGATGTTTCCAGTCTGAAAGCCGGGAGAACGAGTCTAAATGCCGGGAGAACGAGTCTAAAAAGGCCGGAAGAACAAGTCTGAATGCCAGGAGAACAAGTCTGAATGCCGGGAGAACGAGTCTAAAAAGGCCAGGAGAACAAGTCTGAATGCCAGGAGAACGAGTCTGAATGCCGGGAGAACAAGTCTGAATGCCGGGAGAACAAGTCTGAATACCGGAAGAACGAGTCTGAGTACCGGGAGAACAAGTCTGAATACCGGGAGAACGAGTCTGAATACCGGGAGAACAAGTCTGAATACCGGAAGAATGGGTCTGAATGCCGGGAGAACAAGTCTGAATGCTGGGAGAACGGGTCTGAATGGATTATAAATTCGAAGTTTGCGGCAAAGACTTCTTTCTTTTAAAATTTTGTGTTGATGGCCAAACTTGATAATAAAGTAGGTGTTAGTTCCACATTTTTTTCGAAAATATATTTTGGTCTTGGTTATTTTCTATTATTATTATATATTTCAGTTCTTGATATTGACCCTCTTCAGTTCTTGAGGTTGACCCTCTTCAGTTCTTGAGGTTGACCCTCTTCAGTTCTTGAGATTAACCTTCTTCAGTTCCTGAGATTGACCTTCTTCAGCTCTTGAGGTTGACCTTCTTCAGTTCTTGAGATTAACCCTCTTTAGTTCTTGAGATTGACCTTCTTCAGTTCTTGAGATTGACCTTCTTCAGTTCTTGAGATTGACCCTCTTCAGCTCTTGAGATTGACCCTCTTCAGTTTTTGAGATTGACCCTCTTCAGTTCTTGAGGTTGACTCTCTTTCGTTCTTGAGATTGACCCTCTTCAGTTCTTGAGATTGACCTTCTTCAGTTCTTGAGATTTGTTATTGCCAGCTAAAAGGAGATACGTAAACCACTCCTTCTCTATTTCTAGTTTATTAATGTTTATTTATGAAAGAATGTAAATTAAGAGTGAGAAAGTCAAGGTGAATGGATTAATTAGAAATCAGATTGTTGTGGTCTGTATACACTATACACTGATATATTCAATTCTGTCATTTTACATTAACTATTCAACAGAATGAACATAGAAAACCAAGCAACTATAATCAGTGGAACATTGAGCCGTATCTATATAAATAAAGTAGTAATATCTGTTTGTTTGGTGTCATGTCCGATCATAACTCAGGACCCCTTAACCAATTTGTTTCAATTTTGAAGAATCACGGAAATGTTCTTGTTAGGTTTAATTTTTTTGTTATTGAATAGGTTGGCTCTTATGAAGAAAACCTAGTTTCAATGCAAACCTGGGTTCCCAAGCTAGTCATTAAATATACTAGGAATTCATGGTGTTTTTTTAAGTTGAAAGTTTTTAAAAGATTGTTGAAAATTCAAGCCTTTTTTTATGATACTAGGTTCATCTATTTCAGTGGCGAACATTTTCTCCTTTGAAGGTTCGCAGATTTTATAAAAAACTTTCGTGGATTTTCAAAATTTAATTAAAAACGAATTTTGATAGAGGGTAATTTTTTAAATTTTGATCATTCATAAACCTTCCCTGGGGGTCATATATTGAATGTTCTTTTATCGTTTCTTGCAAATACATACTCACACACCTGCTTAACTGATACATACAGTTAGAAACATAAATATTTATCATTCATTCTTGATCAGACAGACCAAGGTTTAAAGGGTACAAAACTGTGAATATGGTATGCCACTCTAAAGTTGGAGGGTCTTAAACAAATATAAAAATATGTCCCTTCAAATCTATGTTATGAAATTTTTCATTTAAATGGGAGTCTTCGCAAATAATGTTATTAATAAGTAGAAATAATTAATATCCATCCAAACTTTTTTTAAGTGCCCGGCGTTGCCCGAGGAAGATTCAAAACACTGAAGGGATTTCAAAAAATCAAAAATTAGAATTTTGAAAAAAAAATTAATTTTTTGCCTGTCCTTTTGCCGCCAAGATACCCATGTGTTCCCTAAAAGACTAGGATTTTTACGATATGTACGTATAAAATTTGAGCAATTTACTTGAAGCTAAAAAAATTTGAACTTCAAACAATCTTCTTCGTCTTCTTATCTTAATGTCAAAATGAAAAGGTTTTAAATCTCGGTCTCTCTTAGAGAAGATTTGAATTCTTGATTGTCTAATGCTTTTCATCATGATTCTTCTGAATTCATTTCATGGATTCATGTGAAACCCTAAACTCTTTTATTTCCGACGCTTCTCAGTACCTCTGGAAAAATTTTTAAAATATTAGTTGTTATTTTCCTCTGAAATTTATTTTCAAAGACAAAAATACTGATGCAAAATATTGAACGTTCTTTTCCTGCATTTCAGGGGTAAGAAAGTTTTTTTTGTACCTAAAGTTCACAGTGTCCAATTTGAGAAACTAACATAAAGCATTCATTTTATTTTTACTCCATTTTGAAAGTAACGCCATTTTGAATGTAAAAGATATTCTCATAAACTAGGTTTAGAATTCGACTTATGTTTTAAACTTTTCATCTCAGTTTTGAGAGAGCGTAGTGCATGCGTAATATAATTCTAATATAGATCCCGTCGAATAGAGACGGTAATGGTTACTGCATTCTCTATTAAAGGGTTTATGTTTTGCATTTCTTTACATTTCTTTAATCCAGTAGATTCCTTGTATGTATTGGAAATCGGACAGCTGGAATATTGATGTAAACCACTTTCTTTCGCGCTCAAATGTAATTAAGTACACATATAATGCTCATAGCTTTTGTCAAACAAAGCTGGAGACTCTCAGTACTATTTTCATAAATTTTCTCCACAAGGTTTTTATTCCATTTTCTTGATGAGTTACACACATAACATTGTTTTCAAAAACTGAAGTTAAAACAAAAATAAGTTTATTTTCTCAGGTTTCTGCACAGTATGTGCACAACTGTAATAATAATTTCCAAATTAAATATTATTTATGCTTTCCATTTATTGGAAAATATATCAAACATGCACAATGTACATCGTACATCGTAATATTTAGTAGAGGAAGGTGTACAGGAGTGGGTGGAGGGGGGGGGAGGAAGATAAAACCGATTTTAAAACGAAAAATGCCGAATACAGGGTTACCCATACAGAATAAGACTTAAGAGTTAAAGTTTCATTCTGTCTTCGTTTTCAAATCATTAGGTTTATCCCCTAAAATGCAGAACCCGAAATTCGTCCTTCAGATCGTTTAAGGTCGTCATTACACATTAAAGTCTCATCCTTTGCGGTTAACCCTGTAAGTGTGTGGTAAATAATTATGATAAGTATAGTATAAGTATGAATATGTATGAATATGTATATAATGTTCTATGTCCCGGAAATAGGAAATGAGTTAAGAAAAGATAAGAATGATATTTAAGTTCAGGTTTGCATTTGAACAGATTGGATTAACTAATCCTAGATTAACTCAGAGCTGAGATTTTAAAAGCTTAAACTCGAGTATTGGCTGAACTTGGGATTAGTAAAAACCAATCGAATTGTTTTTTTTTAACTTTTGAAGGCTTGAGTCTCCAAAGGCTGCAGATCGAAAATCGTAAATCAGCTGATTATGTATTTAGATCATTATGTAGACAGAGATCTCTCATTGGTCAAATCTGAACCTATTAGAATCATTGGGTCTAATTGGAGACTCAAGGATGACCTGGGAGTAAGGAAGGCTCAAGTATAGGTAAAGTCAAGGCTCTATTTTTAAAAATCTCAGCTCAAGTTAGAATTGGTTTATTTTTAATCAAATCAGGTTCAGAAAGATCATAGGAGGCAGGGGTTGGCTATTTGGTTGGATTAGACAAGATTAAGTTTAAAGGTTTGGATTAGACAAGATTAGATTTATAAGGTTTGGATTAGACAATTTAAAGATTATAAGGTTTAGAAAAGGTTGGAAATTGAATTGATTTTAGACTGCATCAAAGAGTGAAGAATAGGAGACAAGGATCAAACCAGAAATATCAGGTTCAGGATAGAAGAATAAATTTAAACTAAATTATAAAGAAAAAATTTTATCAACAGTGCCGCCAATTCTCATATATCAACATCAACCCTAAATCCAGGATTATGGATATATACTTGACAGTATATCCAGGACAATGAACAAATACTAGAAAGTATATCCAGGATTATGGAAATATGCTGAATAGTTTATCAAGGATTATGGATATATGCTAGACAGTATATCCCGGATTATGGTTATATGCTAGACAGTATATCCAGGATTATGGATATATACTGAACACCTCATCCAGGATTATGAATATATACTGAACAGTTTATCCAGAATTATGGATATATACTGAACAGTTTATCCAGGATTATGGATATATTCTGGACAGTATATCCAGGATTATGGATATATGCTGGCATGGGATATCCAGGATTATGGATATATACTGCACAATCTATTCAGGATTATGGATAGATGCTGGACAGTATATTCAGGATTATGGATAGATGCTGAACAGCTCATCCAGGATTATAAATATAAACTGAACAGTTTATCCAGGATTATGGATATAAACTGTACAGTTTATCCAGGATTATAAATATAAACTGAACAGTTTATCCAGTAAAACAAAAAACAATCATTGGAAAATATTTTCTCCATAACTTTTACTTTAATCTTGGAAGAGCGAATAATCAAGATTACTTTGTGTAATGGTTTCACTTCAACTGTTATCTTGATCAAGTTTTTATGCTTTCCGATATCAAGTTTTAAGGTTTCAATTCAAACTAAACAAGCTTCAGATTGTTTCTGAATGACTCAAATCACTTTTTTTTTCTCAGGATTGGTTTCTCAGCTAAACTATACTCTCCCTCTTCTCCTTGAGGAAAGCTAGTGTTCTAGATTTAGTTGTGAGAAGATCTCTGTGACCTAGAACCTGGACGGGTCCAGGTTGGATTCCAAGATAATGTGATTTATCCTGATAAAAGGATTTATTCAATCCTCTCTCCTCCTCAGCGGATTTAAGACCGTGATTTCGCATTGAATATTCTCGGTTTCTCAGAGTACCAGACATGTCTCTGTCTCTCCTTGTATCCTGAGACTCTCTCTCCAAGAGGAATGATCCTTCTTGATCCTGAAATATTCAAATATTCATTTCAAATTTAGTTTTAAACATCACAAAATAGGTAATTTTAACAATTAAATTTAAAATATTGCCCCATCCCTTTAACCCAGAGCCTCCACTTTATATTTTTTTGTACATCCTCTTTTACCATTCTCTTCGTTACGACGCTGAAGTTTAATCCCAGTCGCTCTGAGTTAAAACTATCTAAAATGCTTTTTTATAATTTTTTGTGTTTTATAAACAGTGGAATAAAATTTAGAAAAAATGTAAATTAAGTTGATTTATTTAGTCCTTTAAAAGAATTTATTACAGGTCCTTTTATTGAATTTATGGCACCATTAGTTAATCATTACGAACAACACACTCCATACTTATCATAAACTAATTCATCATTGAGAGGCAATTTCTTACTTGCCGTTTTTTGTTATGTTAATACCACGTGGTAAAGTAAGGGTCCTGTTTTTAAATGTTCTAAAAAACTAAAGAGTCTGAAGAGATCTTAAAAGATCTTAAAAGAATCCTTGAATCTAACTGAACTCCTGGGAATATTAGTTCTAAAACTAACACTTGGCCCATTTCTAAAACTGAGTGTTATAAATGGGCCAAATCTTCAAAGTTGTCTTATACTTATTTCAAATTCCGGATATGTTCGAAAATGGAAAACCTTACATTGCATGTCTTGAAAACAGTCAAGAGATTTAATACAATAGGAACTCCTATTATTATTTTTATTTAAAAAAGTTTAAAATTGTGAATTGTTGTCATCGTCAAGTTTAATAAAATGTTGGTTATAGTTTTTACTTTCGACTTTTACTCTGGATATGGGCCAGGATACCAAAAACCCAGTCTTTCAATTTGTGCCCATTTCTAACACTGAGTGTTAGAAATGCCCCAAGTGTTAGTTTTGGAACTAATGTCCCCTGAACTCAAGAATACCAACTAAACAAAATGCCTGTGCTTTTTGTGAATTCCCTTTAAATGAGAATTAAAGGGACTGTTAACGTAATTTCAAGGTATCCCCCAAATAAGATCACTATGTCCGATTCACAACGGTGCCCTTTAAACCTCTTGATCTGAGCAACAATGAGGAAGTTATCGTTGGTTTCGATCTTGAAAAGCGTTGAAATCTCCCAATTGTATTCCTTCTCTCAGACGCATATTTTGTATGATCCGAGAATTACTTTTGAAAACATTTATTCCTGTTTCGAGGACTTTTGATAATGAAGACGACATTTTCCAGGAATGTTCGAAAATCCAGCGCCAGCCATGAAAACAAGTTGTAAGCAAAATATTATTTTTAAAAAAATCAAAAATATTATGAATTTGGTTTAATATTATTGGTAAGAAAACCTGAATTTGGTTTAATATTATTGGTAAGAAAACCTGAATTTCGTTTAATATTATTGGTGAGAAAACCTGAATTTGGTTTAATATTATTGGTAAGAAAACCTGAATTTGGTTTAATATTATTGGTAAGAAAACCTGAATGTATGTATCAAGGTTGTTCTAAAGTAGGCCTAAGATGTATGATTTGCTGTCGATGTTGGTTTACTTTTATCTCAATTTGACAGGAAAATGATGCACATATCTAGTTACAGGAAAATGATGCACATATCTAGTTACAAAAGTAGATAATATTAAAACTAAAACCATTTTTCTGATAAGACACGGCCAAGGTTTCTGATATTAAAATAAATTCAATCAATTGATGATTTTTCAGACAAAAAATGTGAAATTGTTTTATAACAAAGTATTGAACCCGCAGATCTAACTATAATTATAGTAAGTAAGAAGTAGGGTTTTATTGGTAAATTCTTATTTAATCTTTTAGATTTATCTTTCACAATCAGTGTATAGTCTTAGGAATTCAGGGGGATTAGGATAATTTACCAATAGTTACAAATTGTTAGAAACTGATGTTTTAATTCTAAACTAGTTTTTATAGAAAAACAGCAGTATAAACTACACAACAAAATAATACTTTATAAGTTTTAAAATAACAACTGGCTTAAATATTTTTTTTATGAAAATGAACAGAGAATCTGAGTTATTGCCACAAACTCAAACTTATATCTCTGTATCGTCGTAGCAACTTGATAGCGTTAATTTGTGAAATTTCCAGCATAGACTGTTTGATCTTAAAGAATTCATAGTTTGAAATATGATAGATTTACAATATTGGGTTGCAAAGATAAAGGTGTATACAATCAAAGTTTGTGGTAAGAACTCAGTTCCTTTGTATTTTATAATACTATTTTTCATTTAGAAGTTGAGTTTTTAGCAAAATCTTCTTTTATGCAGACAAAGACTATCTATTGCAAGAAGAAAAGAAGAAGAAGTACTATATATGGGTGGAAGAAGTGCTATGTGTAGGAGGGAAGGAGTACTGTGTGGGATAGAAGGAGTACTGTGTGTAGAAGGGAAGGAGTACTATGTCTGGAAGGGAAGTTGTACTGTGTGTAGAAGGGAAGTAGTACTATGTGTGGGAGGGAAGGAGTACTATGTGTGGGAGGGAAGGAGTACTATGTATGGGAAGGAAGGAGAACTATGTTTAGAAGGGAAGGAGCGCTATGTATAAGAGGGAAGGAGTGCTTTGTGTAGAAGGGAAGAAGTGCTATGTGTAGAAGGGAAGGAGTACTATGTGTAGAATGGAAGGAGCGCTATGTATAGGAGGGATGGAGTGCAATGTGTAGGAGGGAAGGAGAACTATGTGTAGAATGGAAGGAGCGCTATGTATAGGAGGGAAGGAGTACTATGTGTAGGAGGGAAGGAGCGCTATGTATAGGAGGGAAGGAATACTATGTATAGGAGGGAAGGAGAACTATGTGTAGGAGGGAAGGAGAACTATGTGTAGGAGGGAAGGAGTACTATGTGTAGGAGGGAAGGAGTACTATGTGTAGGGAAGGAGTACTATGTATACGAGGGAAGGAGTATTATGTGAAGGAGGGAAGGAGTACTATGTGTAGAAGGGAAGGAGTGCTGTGTAGGAGGGAAGGAGTACTATGTGTAGGAGGGAAGGAGTACTATGTGTAGGAGGGAAGGAGTACTATGTGTAGGAGGGAAGGAGTACTATGTGTAGGAGGGAAGGAGTACTATGTGTAGGAGGGAAGGAGTACTATGTATAGGAGGGAAGGAGCACTATGTGTAGGAGGGAAGGAATACTATGTATAGGAGGGAAGGAGTACTATGTGTGGAAGGGAAGGAGATCTATGAATTAGAGGGAAGGAGTGCTATGTGTAGGAGGGAAGGAGTACTATGTGTAGAAGGGAAGGAGTGCTGTGTAGGAGGGAAAGAGTACTATGTGTAGGAAGGAAGGTGTACTATGTGTAGGAGGGAAGGAGTACTATGTATAGGAGGGAAGGAGCACTATGTGTAGGAGGGAAGGAATACTATGTATAGGAGGGAAGGAGTACTATGTGTAGGAGGGAAAGAGTACTATGTATAGGAGGGAAGGAGTAGAATGTGTGGAAGGGAAGGAGAACTATGTGTAGGAGGGAAGGAGAACTATGTATAGGAGGGAAGGAGAACTATGTTTAGGAGGGAAGGAGTAGAATGTGTGGAAGGGAAGGGGAATTATGTGAAGGAGGGAAGGCGAACTATGTATAGGAGGGAAGGAGAACTATGTGTAGGAGGGAAGGAGTACTATGTATAGTAAGGAAGTAGCGCTATGTGTAGAAGGGAAGGAGTACTATTTGTAGGTGGGAAGGAGTACTATTTGTAGGAGGGAAGGAGTACTATGTGTAGGATGGAAGGAGAACTATGTGTAGGAGGGAAAGAGTACTATGTTTAGGAGGGAAGGAGTACTATGTGTAGAAGGGAAGGAGTATCATGTGTAGGAGGGAAGGAGCGCCATGGATAGGAGGGAAGGAGTACTATGTGTAGGAGGGAAGGAGTACTATGTATAGGAGGGAAGGAGTACTATACCTGTATACTAAGATCAGTATAGTTTGTTAACTCCAATTGTTTTTCTCCGGGTGTTTGAAAGGTTTCTCTCCCGAGCAAGGTTTGGTGGTTCTCTCTCGTCTTCTCCTGAACTCCGAACTCCCAACATTCTGAATTATATTTACAGATATTAATCAATTCAAATCAAAACTGAAAACCTTAGAATTGTAGATATCAAAATCATTGCTTGATCTTTTTGTAATCTGCAAATTAATTTAATCTTAAATTAATCTTCAGATTAGTGTGTAAAAGGCAACCAATCATAGTGTCTATTGCAGAAACCAAACAGCCAATCAAAAGCAGAGAAATATTGTGTATACTGCAGAAACCAAACAGCCAATCAGAGGCAGAGAAATATTGCGACCACTCATTGAAAGAACCCTCGATGGTCGGAAAAGAGAGGATTAAACAGTGGCCACAGTGGATATCGAGATTTAGCATTTGGAATGAAAGGTATCGAATACAAGCTCTATGAATACAAGAGTTTCCAGCTCAGGTTAATAAAATGGTTTAAAAGAGATTGGGTTAGATAAAATTAAGTTTTTAGTCGGTGTGCCGTTATATAATCAAATTTGTTCGCGTTTTGAAAGAGATATTTACCCAAATAGTGTGTTTGAGTTGTCTAGCTAATTTTCAAAAAGCTACTCTGAATAGTTTTATTTCTCTTTGGATCCAATTCAAAAAAAAATTAGATGAAATATTTAAAATAAATAGCCGAACAAAAAAGGATAAAATTGCAACTACTAAAAATCTACGTTTATTGAGTAAAAATGGTACTAAAGTACATATTCACTGGACTTCTAGTTTACCGTGATTTAAAGTCAGGTTATTTCAGGTGATACAAATTCAAGCTTTTTTGTTGTTTAGATATTCTCAACGAGGTTATAGTATATAGAGTGATGATGTACGCTTATACTTTACTAATTGTACAGCCATGTACTTCTCTTCCAAAGGTCAAGCTGTAAATTACAGTACTCGGGGGTGATTTCTGAAATATTCAAATGGAGAATTTGTGTTCCATTGAACTATTAAAATCTACTACTCCTGTATCGTGTGCAGGATTTCAATTTTACAGGAAGACGTACATTAACAGTCTTTTACAGAGCAATATTTCATCAATAATAAACGTTTCTGAGAAAACGATTAAAATTCAAGATACAAAACCTCCCCATACACGTGTACTCCGAAAGCGTACTGCATATTTGATATTTGTACTGTATGAATAGGCGATAATCTCTTAATATCCTTTATCAGTAAACTATCCCAAGTGTACACTCAGGCTAAAACACACGGAGAGGTAGGTAAGTACGTTCCAGCCCCCCTGGATATTCTTAATAAAAGTCTCTTTTACTTACCAAATTATTCCTATTATGATTAGAAGTCATACAGTCTAGACGGATATTAGTAGATTAAGGTTTTAACCATTAATAAAGTTTTTATGTTGGAGTTAATAATTTTATACATGTTATATATAATTGGAAACTTTATTTTGTGTACAAAATACATTAGTGATGATAATACTGCAGTTGCGGACACGTTATATCACATCAGTCTTAGATACTTAGTTTCAATTTGTCTGGGTACACATTATTAAAAGACTTTCAATGGAATTGAATCTTTGACGCAATCTCTGATTTTCTGATTCCTAAATCTTTGCAACCCAATGTTACGTTAGATTAATTAATCTAAGTTAAAATATCACATGTTTACAATTCAACTTGCAAAGATAAAGGAATTACCAAATTTAAGTTTGTGGTAAATTCCTTTGGGTTTTAGTATTTTAGACAATGAATAAAGTTGTTTCTAAGATTCCCAATAAAAGTAGAATTAAAAAGAGTGGGGGGGGGGGGATAGGGCTTGTTTACGCATTTATGAAGTATTAATGATGAACAGGAAGGTCGAATATTTCTCACTTTCTATTTACATTGAAACCAGTTCCATAGTTTACCTTTATCAGAGATTTTTTGCGCAATATGCAAAATCTCATTTCGGACATTAAAAGTGGTGAAGTTTATTTTCAAGACAAAGGAATTGAGTCTTTGTCACATAGTTTAATTTTCTAATCCCTATATCTTTGCAACCCAATGTCGTAGACCTTATGTATTTTAAACTATGAATTCTCTTATATCAAATAATATATGTTTAAAATATCAAATGTTTACGCCATCAGGTTGCAAAGATATAGAGATTAGAAAATTTGAGTCTGTGGCAAAGACTCAATTCCTTTAATTTTGTCAAAAATTTCAGAATTTTCATTTTTGTTCATTTATATTGTGTGATTGTATGCTTACTGTTAAATTGAACTATATATAGTTGCCCAAAGGTTGGGTCGGTACTTCGAATAAAACGGTGTTTACATTGAATGAAGAAGATTGGAGAAAAAACTTGATATATTGTATAAAGTATTACATTACATTATATTGTAAGCACGAAAGGTGAAGAAAGTTTAACTAAAATCAATAAATTATAAAACTTAAAGCAAAACGAGGATCGATTTCAAGTAAAATTGTTTTAATCCAATCTTTTTCCATTCAAGCAACCAGGAAATCAATCATTTTAAGACAGCTTAGATATCATAATTTATTGAAGTAAACTTGTTTGTTTTACTTTATAGTTTTCAGAACTTATTTTCTATTATGCGCAGGAACTTAATCATGTACAACAAAAAGTACTACATGTTAATGTTTTTTGTACTAAACTAAAAGCACATTTTCTTATATAAATATTTTTTAATTAATTCTAATGAAAGGTTGCTAAACCTAACCTGAATCACTTCTTGGTATGAGATCAGGTGAGGGTTCCTCTGTAACGGTTGCATCCTTGCTTCCCTGGTTAGTTTCGTCCCTCTGAGACGGATTAGGATTGCGCCGTCGTTTCAAATAGAAGACGACAATAAGAACAAAGACGACGCAGACGTAAATACCAGTTCCTATTCCCGCGTATATTTCCCAAGAAATTCTCTTTGCTCCGCCGTCTCTTTTCTCCTCTACCTCTTGTATCTCTGGCTGCTGTAGTGTCTCGACTAGTATATGCCTTGGCTCACTTCTTCCCTACAAAATTATAAGTATTAACCGTTTAATTAAATATTTCTTATAAAGGTTCAATGCATTATATTTGCTAAGTTTATATTTTATTTCCCTACATTAACTTTCTAATTAAAAGTTTTAACAGAATGTTAAACAATATGGATCAAATTATGTTTTAACTTTATGGTAAAAATGTATATTTATCATGTTTGGAAATATCAAGAGAAAAAATGAAAAAAATATTTAATATTTTACAGCTCTTGTTTCATTTATTGGTTACTTGACTTGAAACTAAGAAATATATAAAAAGCACAGAGAAATGCTTAAATTCATGAAAAATGAGCATTTTGTTTCGACATCATTTTTTTAAAGTTTTCTTTATTGGTTTTAATACTTTTTTATATTGTTTACTTTCTTGTTTTGGGTCAATTTATTATCTTTTATTATGGATATAATCATGATTCACGAGTAAAAATCTTATTTAAATTGTTTAATCAATCAACCTTAAACATCGTGTTTGCAATGTCATGTCAATAAAATCATTAACTGCATGGGAATAAAGTTAACAAGAGTGGAATGGTAGAAATATATTTCAAAGTAAACTAAGCTACTGGGGTAGGTAAAGTAGGCCTATAATAGGCCGGGTACTGTAAAAAGTCTGGCCGTGCATGTGCGTAATGAAGGGGGAGGCCGGTACCTCTGTGCCCCCCTAGACATGCACCTCCTAGGCCCCCCTAGAGCCAGAGGCAGGCTCTAATTTATTAAACAGTCAACTTACATATGTATTCAGATGTTTTACTTTTCTTCTCAATCGACAATGTCATAATTTGTCCATTTTATGATTATTTCTCAAATTCTTTCTTGTACCTTAATCTTATTTACAATATTTTTTTCGCGGGGTTTCATTGAAAATGATTGGTAATTATGGTCAGATGACTAATAGTCAGCCTTCAGGTAGATTAATAAAGATATCAAACTTTATTTTTTCTTAACACCGGTTTTTTAGGGAGGTGTACATCAACCGTTATGGGGTGCACAAAAAAAATTCGGCCCGCTTACGTGCGGCAAAAGTGACCCCCTAGGCTAAACCTCCACTACGCGCCTGTGGCCTTGCCGTCAAAGTTAAAACCGGGCTGACTAAGGATAGGGGCCGGGCAGAGTACTTGCCGCGCGTCCTGTACAAGTGGTCGGTTCAGTTCGGATTCTAATTGCCCCTGTCCCTAGTCCACCGTGATTTTAAAATATGTTTGTATTTTGTTTCTGAAAAATTTTAACTTAAAACATCCATTGACCGCTTAACTGAAAAATGTCCAAATAAATTGCAGATTGCCAAAAATTGAAAGACGTAATAGAATGACACGTTACTTAAATTGCATGTCAAACAAACTCAACGTAATGTTTGCACTGTATATGATTGATAGGTCGGTTTTCATGTTCAAATGATTATAGACCTTCAGTCTTAATGTTTATTTCATGATATACAAACCTAGGTGAGGGGATTTTTAGATATTAGAAATAAGTCATTTTACATTAAATGCGCAAAATAGATTTTAACTTATATTTTGTTCGTTGTAAAAAAATATTTGAATTATATTTTTATAAAAACAGCTAAAGGATATTGAAAACCTTAGAGAATCTGATCTAGCATGCCAATATCGTGTGAGACTTTAAACTTTTTATAAAGAAAATTTAAAAATTTAATATTTCTTGCTCTGGGTTTTGACCCTGGATTCCCAATATATATATTATTCATCTAAATCTAAAAGATAAAATCACTGCAGAGTAAAGCAGACTTCTCACTACCCAGAAACCATAAAGTTTTGTGGACAGTCTCTTGTAATAAAAAGGGATTGTTTAGGCATGAAAGGGTCACCTGAAATTACGCTTACAGTCCCTTTAATAAGTAAGAATTATGAATCTGATGATGTTATAAAAATTTGAAGTGATGAAATACAACTATTACAAGTTAGTAACTAAAGAAAAAGTTTCACAGCTTTTTTTCAATTACTTGACTTCAGGGGCAAGTTTTTTTTGTCGTTTTTTTGCTACATTTTAATCAAAAATTCATTTTTTCCAATTCAATGACAAAAACACCTTTAGTGCAGTGATTTATAGCACGTCTTTAATGAAATTTACCATGAGTGATGAAGTACACAAAAGTTTAATAAAATAATATTATAAATATAATTAATATTTACCTTTTTATTAACGGATGTGAGGGTGACAAGGTACGCTGCTCCAGGGAGCAGGTTCTGTACTTTAACTACAGGGTTGAGCAGACCATCATCTTCATGAGCTACTACACGGGTCAACCTGTCCTCAACCTAGCATAAATAAAACTGAATTAAATGTAAAATGTGTTTGTCATAGTTTTGTGCGTCTGCATTTATATTGCCTCTCATTTTGTAATAGAGAATGCTGAATGCTATATTAAACATAGCTTATTTATTTTCCGTATGTTTTTAGAACTGGGAATTTTTTGATGGACAGAGTAAGATAAATTCTTTATTCTTGTGTAAAAGCTAACCTACATCCAAGGGTGGATACCCCCCTCCCCCCCCAAAAAAAAGGGAATTTTAAAACTGTTGGGGACAAAATTTTGTGGGATAAAATGATATTTCAAGAAAATTTATACCCTTCACTTCTAATTATAATTGTGAAGCTAAAACCACTGGTCAATGTTCAAGGATTCGGAAATTTAATACCTCAAACAATCAGAAATCAAGATTGAAAACAATTTAAATTTTAATTCATCTCAAATGTATTCGTCAGTATTGTCTGAGCTGTGTTGGGAGCTCCATCTAAACCAAGAGTTGAGAGTTGAGCAGAACAATCTGATATGTATGCAATTTTCCTTGATTTAATCTTTTATTTGAATTCAATCTTTTGAAAAACATTAAATTATTCAATTGATACATCTACAACACTACATATATCATAATGTACTTTATACAGAGCAATAAATTTTTAAAAACAACAAATTGCGATATATTTCAAACTCCAATATTGCAGGCGATTTATGGAGCTTAATTTTATTTGATTTTATTGCACTTCCAGTTTTCAAAAATGAATTTTTACATTTACATATAATATAATGTATATAAAATCTCAAGACTACAGAATATCGTGTAATCCCTGGGTCGTGTCCTGTAAGTCTAGGATTACATAAATTTAGAAAATCGCATCTACTGTGGTTTATTTAAATATATAAAAATACAAATATAGAAATATAGAAATATAGAAATTTATAAAAATATAAATATTTAAATATATAAATATATAAATA